ACACACACACACACACACACACACACACATATATATATAGTATGTATGTATCTTATTTGTATCTTAGAGTCTGTGTTGACTCCTGACAATTAGTTTCTATAGTTTTCTTGGCAAAGTTTTTCTGAAGTGGTCTGCCTGCTTCCTAAAGCTGAGAGAGTAATAGGCTGGCTTTGTGCCCAAGGCAGGACTACAACTGTTTCCCCCCTCCCCAACAACAAGCCTGTGAGGTGGGTTGGGCTGAGAGAAAATGAGTGACTTGCTCAAGGTCACCCAGTTGCCTTTCAAGGTAGGACTAGAACTCTGTCTCCTGGTTTCTAGCCTGCTGCCTTAACCACTAGAATTTAGTAGTGGAATTTATTTTGAAGAAAGACATCCTGATTCTTGGAAATGCCCACATGGACTACGGTAGTCCTTTTTTCTGTCTGAAAAATGTAAAGCATGAAAATCAAGCTGTTACGTAAATATTTCCAATTGATTGAAAAAGTGGGTCATGTGTTAGCCAAATGCTCCCGGCTTTAAGATTTATCAGTGCTATTAAATTATATATGCTTCATGCTTTGGCACGCAGGAGAGCTACATTAGCCTTTTTTCTTTGTACTGATGAAAGATAAGCATTTTTGTCAGAACCTTAATGGACATATGAGCTACAACAACACAGAAAACATTTTTTACTTTTTATTTATGCAACCATAGATACAGATATAGAAAAAAGGTTGAAAGCTTAGACTAGAGATTTTATTTTTTGTATATTTTATTATCTTGTACTTAATTTTAAAGAAATCATGAAATGGATTATTAGACTTTTATTAGAAAAGCCTACAGGTCTGACTACTGGATGCATATGCTAGGAAATACTGGGATAAGAGACATATAATCAAATGTAGTTTAATTATTTTCCATCCTTCTTTAAATTATAATCTTCTTAGTTTTTGTTTGTTTATTTCAGTTAATTAGACTACCGCAGAAAGATATTAAGATTATTCTGGGGAAAAATAAGGTCCCTGGAATTTTATTCTGTGAATAATTTATGTGTAGTTGGAATTATGGCAGTAGAGGCAAAAGACCAACAGGGGTTCTTGAGGGTACTTTAACACAGAAACAATTGTCTTTTCCTAAAGATTATCACTAGATTTAAGATTTCTCATGAAGTTCTAGATTCTCATTTTCATATTGGTAAATTGTTTCAGGCATTCACTGAGAATTTCCTTGGACTTTATTTGAGGAATGATGTTTTACTTTCAATAAAAAAGCCTACTTGGGCTTTATTTCAATAGAGAAATAAAAATACTTAAAAGAGTCATTCCTTAGAAAATACCAAGGAAGTTCAAAAATGTAGAAGAGGTTTAATATAGCATTGCTTGAGAAAACAATCTTCAGTAGCTCATCAGCATTCCAATTATTTTTGTTCTACATTTATCTAACAAAATATTTCATAATCAAGTGGAAGATGAATAATAACCTATCTCTTTAAAATTCTCTTGAAGTTATTTTAGAGCAGTGGTGGTGAACCTATGGCACGCGTGCCAGAGGTAGCACTCAGAGCCCTCTCTGTGGGCACACGTGCCATTGTCCAAGCCTCGCCTCCCCCCGCAACCCCCTCCTCAATAGTAGCCCCTCTGGAGGAGAGTCGCCCCCAAGTGTGGCCCACATGGAGCAGTGCAGCCAAGGACATGGCACCCAGGCAGTGTGGACAAGACTCTGCCCTCACACCCCATCGTGCACAGTTGATGCTGTGGGGCGCGGGCAGAGGGTGTGGCCACCATGGTGCTGCTGGGCTGCCTGGGTGATCTGTGGCGGGCCCTGGAGCTGGTGAGTGGCCCTGTGGGCAGGCAGGATGGGGGAATGGGGTGGAGGCGGGACAGGGGGTGGAGCGGGGGAGGGACCAGTTTTGGGGCACTCAGTCTCTAAAAGGTTTGCCATCACTGTTTTAGAGAAAAGTCAGATTTCTTTTTAAAAAGTCATGTTATTGTGGCTTATTCTGCCACATTTGCATTCAGACTGCTGAACATTTTTATATCTGGTTCCTAAATAAATAATTGCTTGTGGCAGCTGAATGTTTTTGGCTACATAAAAAGATTACTACAGTAATTGCAATTTCTTTTGCAATCACACTTTCTTTTCTTTCTCCCCATTTCTTCCGCATCCACTTGCTCTTTACAGGTAGTCCTCAACATACAACCACAATTAGGAGGAACTTGTGTTGCTAAGTGAGATAGTTGTTAAGTGAGCTGTGCCCAATTTTATATCCTTTTTGCTGCTGTTGTTAAGCAGATCATATAGTCATTAGGTGAATCATGCAATCATTAAGCAAATCAGGCTTCTCCCACTGACTTTCTCTGGTTGAGAAAGTTGCAAATAGCAACCACATGAACCCAAGACAGTGCAACCATTGTAAAGATATGCCAGTTATTAAGCACCCAAATTTTGATCACATGACCACAGGATGTTGCAACATCATATATGTGAGGACTTTTGTAAGTCACTTTTTCAGCACCATCATAACTTTGAATGGTTGCTAAATAAATGGTCATAAATGAAGGACTTCCTGTATTGCTTCTGTTCTAAATGTGCCTTCACTTGAGTTATATAATTTAATAAATTAATCAGAAATTTCTTTTTCTTTTTTTCAAGTATAAAATTTTTATTATTTTCATCATAAAAAAAACATCACAAATATTACACAATGCTATGAAAAACCCCCCACCCCCCACCCCCCCGGACTTCCCAAACCTAATCCCAGGATAATATTCAGATATAAGTAAACAAGTATTAATATCTCTAACTCCACAAAGTGTATTATTCTACATGGATAGGTAAAATATATTAAAG